ATTCATAATATTGATTTTAAGAAACAATTAGCGTCAGCAAGATTCTTTGTATGAAATGAGTAAGTTGGGTCTATCATGAAAGTGCCATAAACTTTACAACGAGAAACCCTAACATTGATGTCTTTCGTTTACTTAGAAGAAATGCAATTGCTATAAAAGTCCATTTAACTGCGTTAGATTTAGTCTCTTTAATTTTTATGAGAATACCTTTTTTTAAAAGTCCATTAAACTTCGTTAGACTTAGTCTCTTTAATTTTTATGAGAATACCTTTATTCCAATGTTACTAAGCATCTAGAAAATCTAGAATCACCCCATGCTCTTTAATAAATTCATACCAAGAATACATTGAATTTTCTTGCCCCCAATGTTGCATACAATTGTACTTTCTTGCATTCCAGTCAGTGGTAACAATGAATCCACATTTTCCCAACTGAAGACGATCTACTTCATTACATTAATAGAAAGTTGTCCTTTGTCCAGGACATAGATCATTGTAAAAGAAACTAAAATATTTATCCTTGCCATTTAGGTGAAGACATGCATGTTGGTTTTGTTGATGTTTGCTTTGCTAGTGAGAAATGTGCTGCTTATATGGGTCTTGTTGTGATTGCCGATTTCGAATCCGATTGAATATCCTTCTGTAGAGCCTTGCTGCGATCTGATGCCCTTGGTTGACTTTTCCTTAAATACTGTGTTTCCCGAAAAAGGCAATCAAACTGCTTTTTAAAGTTATCCTTCTTTATTGATTTATACAATTTTCCTGCATGTTTGTATATTTGATTCAACAGCACTTACTGGTGGTATATAAGGCTGAATTCCGGTAGCACGATATAGAACCGCGTTGAGAGAGCTGCTTTTAGGATGGCTAGGTCTTTAATTGTTGGCACTTTCCATGCCACTATACCTTTATCTGACTATTACTAGAGTCAGTCTCCCACGACAAGGCACAATTGTTAATATTTGAACAAATGCTCGTCGACAATACCAAAGTGGTATTTCTTAGGGTTTTAGAAATATTTTTCTAGGTGAATGATAAATAACGGCTTCCATTTTAAGTTATAGGTAATAATTGGCAAAAATGCATAATCATATGAAAAATATGGTATTATTAAACATTCACAATTAAATAGATTTTCAGACCAATCAAATGAGTTTTAAAAAAACAAATGGATAGCATAATACTTTTAAAGTAGTAGTATAACAGTATATACGATAATGTACGAGGGATGTTCGGAATGTATTGCTTATTTCTATCTGGAGACTTTCACGTCCTAGAAAATTTCACGTTAGCTCAAAAGTGTTCATTTCAAGCCCTCGTAGTACTCCCCGTGGCTAAAAATGCAAAGTTTCAGCCGATGTATCCACTTCTTGAAGGCGTCACGGTACGCTGATTTGGGCACAGTAATAAGGTACTGATTTTTAAGCTTTATGTGTTGACCACACACAATATAGGTGTTTGGTAAGAAATGAAATATTATTTCTATATTCATGGCTGAACGGTGATTTCAAACATTTTTGGAAATGCTTATTTTTTTATTTTATTTTTTTTATTTATGCATTCAGGAACAGAGCACAAATAATAAAATCATATAGTTAAGAGATAACATATAAATCATATATATAAAATGATATCATAAAAAATGTAAGACGTACTATGCACCTATGGATAGCGCATTAAGCTAAAAGCTTATTTCCAATGGGGTCCATAGAAATAAAAAATACATAATTACAACTCTTCCCCCCCCCCTTAAAAAAACAAAACAAAAAGAAACTAATCTAATTAACTTTGGTCAAGATTTCGGTTGAAAAGGAAAATATTATTATAAAAGTATGCCCTTTTTTTAAACCTAGTATCACTATCACAGACAAATATTGGATCACAGTGCCTAACACATTAGTAGTACACATATATCTTCTGCTACACTTTAAAACTTTCTAGTAGGTACTTCTTTACAGATTGTTTTAGAAATTTGAGTTTGGCATTCACTTCAGAAATAATGTTATTAACAATGGTTCCCCAGAAAAATCACTATTGATATATAGACCAAGCTACTTAACGAAATTAGCACCCTAAATACTATGACTATTACAGTAAAATTGTTTTTGCTATCGTAATTTTCTTTTGGTGCCAAACAGCATACGTTCAGTCTTACCAAGGTTGAGTGACAGCTTATTGTCCACAAGCCATTCTGAACAGCTTTCTAGGGCTGCAACAAGTTTTTCTGAGATAAATTCTGTATTTTTTATGTGAGAATAAAATAGTGCTATCATCTGCATATAATAGTAAGTTACAATCAGTATCAATACTTAAAATCATATCATTTACGTAGCACAGAAAAAGCAACGGCCCTAGAATACTACCTTGTGGGGCGCTACAGGTGACATTGTTTGATTAAGAGTATGTATTATCTATATTAACAAGTTCTGAAAAATATGTTCTAAACCAGGAAATAACTTTCCACAAAGACTATTATGGTCTACGGTGTCAAACACCTTTTGCAAGTCTAGTATAACCCTTTACTAGTATTTATTCTTTTAACATCTTGTAAGTGTATAAGACAGCTATCTGTAGAAAAACACCTTTTAAACCCAGAGTGGTGTTCATACAATAAATTATTGGAAACCAAAAATGTTTCAAGTCGAGCATAAGCAGCTTTTTCTAAAAAAATTGAAACTTCACTTAAAATACTGACTGGCATATAATTACCAACTTCTAGAATACTATTCTTCTTATGAAATGGTTTTACTCCAGCCAACCTCATTTTATCAGGTAAAAGATTGATTAACAATGTAAGTAATTCAAAACACTAGATCCACTCTTCAAAAATCTGGTAGGAATATCATCTAATCCTGTGCCTTTACTAACGTTAAGTTGTATAGTTCCTTAAAAACAAAATTTTCAGATATAAGTTGTAGATTTAAAACATTACTATCAGGATTTCTTATACCATAAAAATTAGAAAGCTTTTCAGACCCTAAATCATACAACCTTTTACTTGAAGGTAGTTTCTCAACAAGTTAAGAAGCAACACTTGTAAAAAAATCGTTAATATAATCTGAAACAGTATCAGCGTCATGGCAGTTTCACCGTTAATTGATAAAACAATATTTGAAGACTTCTTTTTGTCATTTTTATATCCCAAAATCTTTAAAGTTTGCCAGAGTTTGCTAGGATTAAATTTGTTTTCCTCTCTTTTGTTAGTAAAATATTCCGTCTAAGCAGTCTTCATATCTCTTTGAATTGGATTCCTTACCTTACAAAAAAACTTATATTCCTCTCTTTCACAATACTTTTAATATCTATATAAATACGAGACTCTTTGCTTGATACTATCTAGTATTTCAGAGTTTATCCAGGGCTCTAACTGGTTACGTAGTCTTATTTCCTTTACCGGGGCCACATAGTCTAAAACACTAGTAAAATTTTTTAAAAGAAATCCATGCAGTATTAACATCAGTAGAGTAAAAACAAGAACTCCAGTCAGCATTTGCTTATCAGGAAATAAAATATTTTTATCATAAGTTTTTAGAGACCTGATTTTAACATAATTATGCTCCTTTGCTGGAACTTTCAAAATTTTTCTTGTACAAAAAGTAAGCATATGGTCACTCAGACCCATAGGAACAACTCCTGACTGAGATATTTTTTCTTTGTTATTACTTAGAATATGATGAAGTAAACTAATAAATGAACTACAAATTTTAGAAGGTTCTGTAATTATCTGTTCTAAATTAAAAAGCCATCAAAACTTGTAATAAGACTTGAAATGCAATAATCACCTAAAATAAAAGTTTCACAATGTGTTCTTAAATGAGTTAAAATGTTTTCAAAACTGTCTAGAAAACTAGAATGTTTTGGAGGTCTGTAGACAGTCACAACAGTGATGGGCTTGTTTCTTGGCAAGATAAGATTTCTTCGCCATCCCATAATAAGTCTGTTCTTATATTGAACGCCAGGTCATCACACTCCATCTCAATTCCTATTGCGGTCACGCCTTATCACCGAAAAATTGTGGACATTAACTTCGCCATCAGGTACTGAAGACTCGAGCCAGGTTTCTGACATTGAGATAACATCTGTTTGGATTTTAGTGCAATTAGCCGAAGTTCTGATATTTTAGGAAGCAAGGATCTTGCGTTAACAGAATAAAATACTTTTTGGAAGAAACACTGGAAATGATCTTGACTTATTTCAGAAGGATTTTGAGTTCCATTTGAATTTGTTGTAAACAACAATTCTGAGTCATTAAAATTCGGAGCATCTTGTGAAATGGAAGTTCAGTAAATGTGCATCCATTGCAAGAAAAGTAAAATATAGCCTCAACTCTACAAATACTCTCCTGCGCATCGGTCGAATGTTTCACTTACGCTCACTTCTAAAGTAGCGTGAGTGCATTCAGTAAGCTGCGAAGGGAGCGTATCTTAATAGAACCATTTTGATTGGTCGAATCGATAACTTCAAAATTGATAAAATAAATTTTTATTAGTTGATAATTTCTTGTTTACCGGTCATTCTTTTTCATTGGTTCATCATTGAAAAAATAATATTTTGCTGAAGAAACCCTCCCCCGCCCAACCCAACAACCCTTTGCAGTTTTCTTCGCCCTTGGTCAATGCGGGCGTCATATTTGTCGAAAGGCGCTTAATACTGGTTGATTTTAATGGAAATGCCGTCACATCGATTGCCAGATCTAGTCTATATAATGCTTAGAACTTTAGATAAACAAGGGCGAATCACTTAAAGCACCTTATATTAAAATTGTGCTTTTTCACATATGCCTTCGTTACCCTGGAGCGCTAATGTGACATTCATACAAGTACTTAAGTTTTTGATTGTTTGTAGTTTTTTCCACGAGCTGATTTCTACGAGATGATTTGAAACAATGTTTCTTAGATACATTATTATGCTGTATTTAGATAACTTTATGTTACTATTGAAATATTATTATATATTTTCCACCTTTTAAGCCATTTTACATGTATTTTACTTTTCAGAATAATGGTTATCGACGTACATTTGGTTGCATTAGCAGTACTTGCCATCATTAACACAGGTAATAGGCATGTAAATGTATTCATCTTATCTAAACTCATTGCCTGAAAAAGAAAAGTTGGTATAAGAACGATTGAGAATTGTAGAAATGAAAACAAAATCACATATGAAATAGCGAAAATGCTAATACTTTAAAAACAGTATATATATGTTTTATACTCAAAATGCTGTTATTGATTTTTTAGTTTGGCATTTCTGTGATTCTGCTATAAATCAGAATTATATCAGCAAATCAACGTGTTTTAATGTACACTTAAGATTATTATTATAAATGATAGCCTAATTTGTTTGATAAGGTTTGCATGTACAGTTTGTACAATTTATGATAAAGGTTATTATTATTGTACAATGTAGCTGATTTCCATCACTTGTTTTCAACTTCCATCGAAACATGTCATTGTTAGTAATAAAACTGAAACACGACGATTCACTGAAAACGTCTAGTTACCTCTTTTCATCATTTACTATCGACATTTTGTCGCGCAACATGATAAAATGAAACCAAATAAGTTTATGTTTGCCTGTTGTTGCATTGTGCTTTTATCAATTTACTTTGGTCATAATTATTATAATGTTGTTTTCTTTGCTCATGTTCAATTTATATTAGGTGTTTCGTTTAAATTTAGGCTTAGGTGTTAGTATACAAACAACAAGCAGTCTGGATGGTGAAGAATCATATGAATGTGGCAGGAATATAACATTATCCTGTATGTTTAAGAAGAACACATCTGTCATTGTATGGGGGAAGGCAAACAGTATTTTACGAATTGCTCGATGTGATAAAACTACTTGTACTTTAAATCCTGCTTACATTGGCCTGTACAGTATTTCATTCGACATGACGCAGGGCATTTTCAACTTGACAATTATTAAGGTGACCGCGGAAGAAAACGGAACAAAGCTAATTTGTTCAGATGGATCTCATAGTGATTCTTACATTTTAAGAGTCTATGGTATGTCTATCAATTTAAATTACCAGTATTTATATGTAAATGCATCTTTTTACACAAAACTTTAAAATAGATTAATCTTAATTGTGCTTTTTGCATTTATTCTATGAAATCTTTCCAACTACTCATATTTCTAGTTCTATAAGAACTGTAGTCCATTAACGATTTGATTTAGATTGAGCATTTTACACTTGCTAAATGTATGAAATAACGACAATTACATGTACTTTTTGAAAAATGCCTGGTAAAGTACTCGTATATCTAAAGATGTTTTAATTTAAATTATTTCCATATACCACTCTGTACAATCCGCATACTATACACTGTAACTGTTTTAAGCGGTACCACAAAACTATATTTAACAATTCTTACAAGTGAACTCCCATTTATTGTACGTAAGTTAAGGCTAGGTAAAATGTCCCTCGCCTCATATTTTCCCGATGTCTTAGGAAGGAAAGAAACGTTACAGAACTTATTGAATCATAGTTTAAAAAACTTTTCATTGAAAATGAATTGAGTTAAATCGTATACCTGATCGTGCACAGTGCATTAACTTGAATGCAGATTTTAATTACCCACACAAGTATCGCACTGTCAGGGGAAAAAAGACCATGCTCATTGATTGGCTACATCTTATTTCTGGGGTTAACTTCATGCACAGACAGAGAAAGAATACCGATAAAAATGTCTTTTTCGGATGTTTGTACATAATTGGTTATTTTTTTTTTGGGGGGGGGGGTCCTATTGTGACGACAGGGAACGTTTTTCTTTCTTTGCTCGTGATACAAGGATAAGAGAAAGGACAGCAAAACGCACAACGCAGAATATTAAGCCTTATGGTTTGGTAAGTTAACGAGCAAGCATTGAAACACGAGGCTATCTTATTTGTAAATTATAAATAAATCAGATTGCTGTGTGTACGTGTACCGAAAAATTTGAGTCGGTGACCCCCTAATTTTTTAGTTATTTTGACTAAGTTTACATTTTAAAGGACGTTTAAAGAAAAAAATCAAAAATTTATTTCAGGAATTTTTTAATAATCCGCTCTAAAGCCGAAAATTGCGGCTAAACTGAACGTCAAATTTTACACAAAATTGCCAATTCTTTTTCCATTACTCAAACAATTTTCGGTGTAAAACAAAAAAGTTTATATCTGCTTAAAGGAAAAAATAATTTCCGTCGAATGCTGTAGGATTTAAGATATTTTGTCCGTCAATGGCGTTGAAATACCTGTAACAGTTGCCAAGGATACGCAACGACGTCATGTTCAAAAAACGGGCTTTGATGGTCAACTTTGACGTCGTGTGTACAAAAATTGGCTGAAACTATTGAAATAAAATCAACGAAACCTAATCAGAAATATGGTCAATTTTTTGCATGCCAATTTTCAAGACGCTACTCGAAAGTTCGCAAAGTGTCGCGTTCTACCTTAAGGACATGATGAAATAACTAATTTTATGCTTTCAGACCCAGCTGTCATTATACCTAAAACAGACAGTCTTGGTGACACAATTCAAGCTGAATGTGGTAGAAGTCTGTCGTTATCGTGCAAGTTTAGGAAGAACACATTTGCAATTGTATGGAAGTTCTCGGACGATATTTTACCAATAGCAAAATGTCAACAAAACAATTGCAGTTTAAATCCCAATTTTGTTGGACAGTTCTATTATTTTCTCGATAAGACACGATGCATGTTTACGCAGAAAATAATAAAGGTGACTAACAAATACAACGAAAGAAAGTTAGTGTGTTCAGATGGTACTCATAGCGACTTTCAAATTATAAAAGTAGGGGGTAAGTCTAACATATCTTAATTTACTATGTACAGTATTTTTAATATATTATTATGTAAAAAATACATACTGTATATTATCACTGTTGTGTCTTTTGTAATAATAAATCATACTTATATACATAGTGACAGCAGTACAGGTAACATATATTTGGGTGGAAGATCATGAAAAATAAATAATGAACGTATCATTCGAGTCTACTCGAGTAATTACCTACAATTAAAGGGTGTACTAATGAAAATGTAAAAAATATATATAAAACAAGCAGTTTAGGACAGCGTGTTCTACAATTCGCAGTGTGTAATAGCAAAATGTAAGAAAAAACAATGAGGTAAATTTCATTGACACATAACAACAACAACAAAACAAAATAAAAACTAGGGCTTCTTAATCGGAAAAAAATCATAATCGATCATCGAAAATAATCGAATAACCTTTTTCGATCAATCATCGATTATATAATCGAAACATTTACGATAACAAAGTAAATATGTACAATGCACATATCATGCTTTAATATTTATAAGAATTCCATTAATAATCTATATTTTGTGTAACTACCACTTAAGATTAAAATAAACTAGTTACTCATGCTTATGTTCATCCTTGAGTAAAATATTTTAATCAAATAAATTCATTATATCTATGAAATTATTATGTCTCAATTCCAATAAAGGAATGAATAAGCTATGTATGAGAACAAGAGAAGTTGGTCATTAACAAAAATTCCAGGTTTTTTTAATGACACTATATATTGATATTGTTACCATCTTCAGTGTGTAGAATAATTTTATACATATCTTCTTTGTTTGAAGTCAAAACATGTTTATTTCATATTTACAAATAGACTGTGTAGACATTTTCTAATTTTAAATTTGAGCATAGTATGTCTTTAAACTAGAATGCCTCACTGTCAACTATTAATCTCATGGTCACCAGTATGCTTTCTCATTCATTTTAATGAAAGTTATTGGGTACACCAAAGCTGGCTTTAATTTAAAGTGTTGTTATAATACAGCGAGTCACTTAAGTAAGAGCAAGAAGATAAATAACCGATGATCGATTATTGAACTTTGTATTCGATCATCGCTAATCGGTCCTATAAACGATCAATTATCGATTATACTCGATCATCGTTTAATCCCTAATAAAAACCAAACAACAAACAAACTAATGTACGAGTACATTACATAGTTATGAGTCTTGGATATTGACCAACTAATTTTGTTAGTTCCCAAAGTTCCTTATTTCAATCAAATCTATGCCAGATCTGTTTTGGACAGAGACCATAAATTTGTAATTTTCAAAAAGCAAGAAAAAATTCTTTAAGTAAATACAAACAGTAGTTTAAATAAAGATTACTCCTTTTTTCTAAATTCATAAGGGCCATTTTTCAGTCAAACGAGATATCAGAGTTAAGGGCCTACGATAATGACATCCAATAATGATCTTAAGACGTGTATTCAGTTTCATGCGGATACCTTCAATTGTTATAATGATTTACAGAGCACCTAAAAGTTTCTATATCTACAAAGGATCATTATTTTGTCAAAGATAGATAGATAGTTAAGGTCTTCATTTATGATTCCGTAGTCATTTAGAAAGTTTTAAGTGGATGCATTTAGTTGTCTTGAATAATAAATGTTGCAAGCGGCCATAATTCAGTCAAAATCCATGTCAGAATTAAAGCCCATCGAAAGTGACCTATGGTTATTATCTTGAAGCAATGTATTAAGTGGCATGTGAATACCTTTAACAGTTTATATATTGATGCTGCATGCAAAACTTTAAGCAAGAACTTCTTAGTTCATAAAGATACTCGATTCTGTCATGATCCATGCTAGAGTTATGGACCCTGGAATATTACTTCCAATAATGATTCCGTAGACTTGTATTAAGTTGTAAGTGAACAAGCTTATCAGGGCCTCCACTTACCTAAAAGTTTCACGTGATGTTAACTTGTTTCTTTTCGTTTTGAACACAAACATACGGAAGCATATCAGGGCCTACGGAAGCGTATCAGGGCCTACAGTTGGTGAGATGTTTTGCGCCAAGTCAACTTATTTTTATTCGCATTGATAAGATGTTTTTGCATTTCTCAATAAAATTTACTGACAAAGATGAGAAGCTTTTAGTCATTGCAACTGATTTTTTCTCGATATGCTTGGAGCTTTTGACTCTTCGACAAAAAAGCTGTCGAAACTTCTTGATTTCACGACTTTGCTGAAATATTTAGTAAGACGCAAAGACGTTACTCGCATTGACAAATAGCTCACGTAATTCAACAAAGTTTTTTATATTTATCTATTTTGCAATGATTGAAAACTTGTACTTATTACGTATTTTATCATAACGTCTTCATGTAATGTTTCTGGTCAAAACGAGAAGAAACAAGTTGACATGACGTGAACCTTTTAGATAAGTGGAGGCACTGATAAGCTTCCGTAAACATTCCATGAAGACGTTATGATTAATACGTAATACATAAACCATTCCATTAAGACGTTATGATTAAAACGTAATACGTAGAAGTTTTTAATCATCGCCAAAACACTTTTGTTGAATTACTAAATATTTCAGCAAAGCCGTGAAAAAGGATTTTGTCGAAGAGAAAAAACTTCAATCATATCGATAAAAATTCAGTTGCAATGCCTAAAAGCTTCTTATCTTTGTCAGTAATTTTTATTGAGAAATGCAAAAACATCTTATCAATGCGAATAGAAATAAGTCGACTTAGCGCAAAACACATCTCATCAACTGTAGGCCCTGATAAGCTTCCGTAAACATCCAATGATCTACCTATTTGGCTTATCGAGCGTGTTTCAGAGCAATTAAAACAAGCACAAGTAATAATGATATTTGTTGATAAAATACTTAAAGTATTAAGATGTCAGCTCGCTTTATTTGTTCTCAGTACATATATAATAAGTAAATCATAATCTAGCAGCTGGGCCTCTACGGTCTCAGGGCAAAACAATACAATAGGGTTCTTTGCTAGATGTTTATTCGGTGTAGTACATACAATCTAAATAACACAAAACAATGGGGCTGAAAAGAAAATAAGGCATTATAAATATATTACAACAATATCATTGTATTTGTATTAATATTAAATAAATCAATTTAAATAAGAATCTACATGTACTTATTTAAATGTGATTAATTACTCTTTTATACAAACATTATAAATATTACTTGTAAATGCATATCATCTTTCACTTAGTAAAAGTACATCTCATCATAATCTACTATTTACATACATGTACAATATGTATATAACTTACACAATAAATACAAAACATCATTATATACCTTGTGAGTGAAACAAGTACCCTCTTCTATATTTATAAATATTCATCCACAAACAATCACTCGACCATCCAGTGTATGTGACTTGTGCTGTAAAGTTAAGGTTATACGAGGGTTGTCCCAAAATGTCGTAGACTACATTATTTTCTCTTCAACCTGATGTCAAAC